AATCTGTGTGAGTAAATGTGGTAAGAAATTTGTCAACAGGATATAAGCAGTAAGGTCAACATTGTGTTTAATGTGCTTTTTCGACAGTAGAGGATGTGAAGAATAGATCAGGACAAATATTTAAAAGTCCAAGAAGCTCTCCTTTAACAATGGCCTCTCCAGTCAGAAAGAGGAAAGAGCAATAAGTAAAAGTTATGCTTTGATTTAGAAGAAAAGAAAACCTCTCAAGAAGACAAAACCTGTAAAAATTGAAATCCACATATACTGTCAAGGCAAATAGTCCATTCACAGTGCTCCCTCTCAGGTCTCTTAAGCATGGGTTATTTTTTAAAACTGAAACTAGATGTGATTCTGAACCTCACCCTACCAATATTTGCCATCTGTGCTAAACACTAGCACACGCTACGTAATTCCTGGTAACTTAACAAATAAAAAGAGCCCGGCCGGTATGGCCCAGTGGTTGAGCATTGACTTATAAACCAGATCATGGTTTGATTCCGGTCAGGGCACATGCCCAGGTTTCAGGCTCGATCACCAGTAGGGGGCATACAGGAGACAGCTGATGGATGATTCTCATATTTGATGTTTCTATCTCTTTCTCCTCTTCCTTCCTCTCTGAAATCAATTAAAATATATTTTTAAAAAGTTTATTTAAAAAAAAATAAAATGAGATAACCCTAGAAATTAGTGAATGAAAAACAAAGGGACTATGGCAAATAACTGAGTTGTTGAAATTATACTGACCCAACTTGAGCTCACAACAATGACTCAGAAACAACTGTGGTCAATTTTATTATCAGACATGGAAAATAATAAACAGAAATATTTTTTAAAACTCAAGTATATAAAATTAGGCAATGTGTGATATACAGTATAAATATTCAATAAATGAGAGTGAATATTATCATTTTTATAACTTACTAAAAAGAATATAGATTCTATTTCAATCCACCATACAAGCAGTAGAGCTAAAACTTCCAATACTATTATGATGAGCATATCAGCATGAATACTAAGCATTTTGACTTTAAAAAAATTAGAGAAACATCAATAATTTCCTCACAAATTTTATCAAGATGTTTGAACAATTAGCATTTCAATATATAGGGCTATTATATTCATGATAGACCATCCCCCTTGATCCTATAATGAGGTATAAGAGAATTTTCCCCATTTCTTCATGTTTTGTAGTCTTATACAATTAGTTTTGCTTATTTTACTCTTTCCATATATATATTTTTTTTAATCATTAAGGGGCTCAGAACAGGCCTCCGCAACATGTACCACTTTGGCATGTGGATTATTTTAAGCTAAAGTCAATCGAGACCCTGTGGCTCAAGGGAAACTTTGCCTTCTTCCTTAAAAAATTTAAATTGGGGGTGTGCAATAAGAATAATCACCAGAGATAAGTTTTTATGACATACATAAGACTTCTTTTTTAAAGTATATATTTTAATTGATTTCAGAGAGGAAGGGAGAAAGAGATAAAAAACATCAATGATGAGAGATAATCCTGGATCAGCTGCCTCCTGCATGCCCCCTCCCACTGGGGATCAAGCCCATAACTAGGGCATGTGTCCTTACCAGGAATCTGGTTCATAGGTGGACACCAACCTCTGAACCATACCAGCCAGGCAGCAAACTTCTAATTACTAAACACCTGTTCTTATTATCATTCTATGAATGGCATTCCTCCCCTCTGAAGCTCTGGAAAGGCATGTTCCTCATTCCTTGGCTCAAGATGCCATATATGCTTCATTACTCTTTCGGTCTCTAAATCTCTCACATACATAGGGTTCCCATATGTACATATAAAATTAAATTTGGTTATTTTTCTCTTGTTAATCTATCTCATGTCAATTTATTTATTAGACCAGCTGGGGGAACCTAGAGGGGTAGAGTACAATTTCTTCTTCCCCCACATTAGGAACAAGCAACCAACTTTGGGTAGAGCAAGGGAGACAGAGCTGATGAGCTTCCTTCTAAAGCCACTGGTTATTCTTCTGGAGACAGGAAATAGGCTGGGTTGCTCCATTCAGAGGAGAGGTTTCATTCTTTTGTAATTTTTGTTCAATTTTTTGACATTTACTTTGTAAAGGTGAGATTATCCCTTCTAAAACTGATTACAATTTACATGCATGCTCTAAAAAAGTGACTCAATGTTACTTAAGTTCCTGAGATTTATATGAAGAAAAAATGTATAACTATAAGCACAAACAACTTCTATTTAACAATATCCCTTTTAAAATCCTAAGTAAAAGTAAGAGTTTGGACAAGATGATCTCCATGGTCTCTAGCTATAATATTCTGTGATTCAACACATACTTACTTAGTGTCTACATATGACTACGTGCTGCACAGTATGAGGGGCACACAGATATTAACACACCAGACATGATCTCAGCCCTGGGGACAGCAAGACAGAGAAGTGTGGACATGTAAGACTGTCAACAGCTAGAGGTCAAGTTTCCTGTAATGTGCAATGTTGTATTTTCATGGCCTGGCAATGCCTAGCACACTATAAGTGTTTGATCAATATTATTGAAAGAGTAAGGGTGAACATAGCAGGCTATGGGACTTAGCCCTATCTGGAGATTTGGTGAAGATTCAATTTGTATATTCAATCTATATGTTCTCTGGCCCTCATGCCATTGCTGCTAACTATAGCTTTTCTAAAAGCCCACAGGCGTGGCAGTGTTATTCAGTTTTTGAACTCACAGTGCTTATAAAGAGATTACTGCTTAAGTAGGTAAGGTTACTTTTAAAGGAAGCTACTCCCATACTTGTGCTTGTAGTTTTTCAATTTAAAGGGCCAGTGACCTGAAGCCACACAATTTATTGGCAGTGGATAGAAACAATGGAAAGATCATTCAGTACAACGTATCCTTTACTTGAACTAGAATCATGGTTCTAATTTTAAAACAGAGTCAAATATCCCACCATAAAATATCCTCTTTTGAATCTGCCAGAACAGTAGAAAATATTAAGTATGCAGCAGAATTTATACAACATATATACATATGATGATTATGCATTTTGTTTGTCATTTTCTAGAAGTTCAAAAGTTTCAATGATAGACCATAGTCTTCCTAGGGAAGAACAAATTATTTGAGTAATAGTTCTATCATTGTAATTCATTAATTTGGAGTTTTTAACCAGCTCAATTCAATATTCTAACTTTTTCTCTATAATAAATTGCTGTATATTTTATTTGTTATTTTAAATATGATATGCAAAGTTACAGCCCCATACATTTTAATATAGTTTTCAATCCCCTTGTAGACAAATAGTCACACTCTAGTGCCCCCTAAATGAAGAATAACTATTCATCTGTAACACAGAGATACAGAAGGCTCTGGATTTTCATTTTAAAGTGCTTAATTATCTGCATAAAGAGAGAAATAAAATAAAGAGTCCAGGCCAAGTTCATGAGGGTTTGAAATTACTTTTCTTTTTCTAAACGAGCAACAAAGACTCCTCAATGGTGCAAGCTGTTATGTGGCCACAAGCCAACTGTGGAAGAAAATGTTGAAAACAGGGGGATCAGGAATTAAATTGAAATATATGATGCAAGAACCAAACTCAAAAGTTGAAAAATGTAGGTGGTGTATTCAGCCACAGGACAATATTAACATATTGAAGAAATAATCCAATCAGCAATAAATTTAAATCTGCACATTAAGTATTGCAATGTGGGCAGTTATATAATCCAAGGTTATTTTTGAGGATTTCCTGCCTCGTCACTCACAAACATGTTTACAATATTCCTATTTATGAACGTACTCAGCATCACTAAAGGACCACACAAAACACGGTATTAATCCACAAACCAAAAAACTGAGAATGAAAAAAAAATTGTTTTTCATGTAAATCTGATGGCCATTCTCAAGTAATTCATGTTCAGTACCGTAACTTACATATTGGGCAGGAAAGAATGCTTATCAGAGAAGGAAAGGCAAGAGATTTAACCTTGAAACAAGGTAACTGCCATATAGTTGTTGAAGGAATTTACTTATTATCAGATAAAGAATTTACAGTATTTATTCCCTCTCGAGATATAAAATAGTGAATCAATCTGCAGTTCAAGATATTTACTTAAACCCAGAGGAGGAGGATATGGCTTTAACTTTCGAAAACCAAAATAGGAAGACAAACAGCTCTAATGTAGTTTATCTTTAGACACCAGATTTAACATTCAACAATTCAAGCTAAATGCTATTTCTCAAGTTTTCCGTTCATATATTTCTGTAATTTATATGAGTATAACATATGTAAAATGGAAGTTGAAAACCACTTATCAGGAAAGCTTAAAATTACATGGATAGCTACTACAATTTATTTAAATATATAATCTACTGATCAATTCATCTATTCATCTATCCATGTATCCATTTGATCCTTCACAATCCTTTTAGTCTACTGATATTAGTCATTCTCTGGTTGCCCTTGAAAAATCCTGCACACATAACAAAGAAACAAAAAAAGGTCTGACCAAACAAATTTTCTCCGTTGATCATTTCCTTTAAGCAAATGGTTACATAAGGAGATTCTTTGTTTTGTTTTAGGTCTAATCAAGCCTCATAAGACTTACCTTGCATATGTTGTGGGCCTTCAAATGAAATTCTTCTTTGAGAAATGGCACTGTTTTCTTATATAATTGTTCCCTTGGCTACTCTACCTGGCTCAAACTATCCTGAACTAAAATTTATGCTGCTAATATAAAAACAGCCTATACACAAATTCATCCAGACAGTGTGAATAAGACCAAGTTTAGAATGAACCAAATAGTAAATATACAGACAGACAGATAGCCTGGAAGTTCACGCTCTAGGACATTAGCAATGCAGCCCAATTGCATCCTCAGCAGAAAGAGGTGACCTCGTGGAAATGAACAGTGCTGCTCTCCCAGTGCCCCCCCAGATCATCACACACACACACACACACACACACACACACACACACACACACAAACACTAACAAAATACTTAAATAAAGGATATAGTCATCTTTTCCACGAATTTATCATGTTGATCTTCTGTTTGGGGGAATTTCTTGATGTCACGTTCCAGATTAACAATCTGTTGTTCCATTGCTGCAAGGTTGCTCTTGAGAATTTGAGCTGAAACTGAAGAAAAATATGCAAAGTCTTTAGAATATTTGGCCAGGTATTCCAGAAAAAGATTAAAAGAAAACAGTATTAGTTAAAGTATTTTTTTTTAATATGGAAAAGAGTTTCATGAAGTCAACTCACATTTTTCTGAAATACTGCTCATAAAAATTCCACTCTCCATGAAATAAGAGAAAATGTGTAATATAATACACCAAATTGTCAGGTTTAATATGAGAATGTCACCATTTTATTCAGTCATTGGTTCAAATGAATCTATTTCTATTTAAATTTATTGGTGGAATTCCTAATATTTCATTCTTTAAAATCTAATTTGTAGATTAAAGAGAAACTAAGGTTCAAAGAGATCTTATTTTATTAATGTGTCTTGGCTATATAAATGATTTAAGGTTAAATTATACAAAAGGATCAACTATTTTTCTTTGGTTGGAATAGCCTAGTTTTTACAAACTAACATCTATGGTAAAAGTTCCATTCTCATAGAGAATGTGAAAAATTATTTTTTCATACCCACAGAGATGTGAAAAATAACTGTTGCTACATAAGGAGAATTTAGAGCAAAACCCAGCAAACACATATGTGCATACATACCCACAAATCTTCAGCAAGCCTTCAAACTCTATCATCAGTTGCGTTAATTACCCCTAACATTCTTTGCACATTTTCTCTCTCCTCGTTGACAACCAATAATTTTAAGTATTGTATTCAAACTGTTCCAAAATACACTTTCCAGATCTCTCTGATACCTTCTTTTCACAGAGGGACTTTTCTTTAAACTAATGTTATTTTATAGATACTCTATTATTGCATGATGATCAATTATATACAAAGACGTTTCTATCAATATCAATGGCATCTGGCAAGGTTCTAATTGGAAAGACAAGGTAGGTATAAGAATTTGGTAGGTAGCCTGTGAAATGGTTCTTAAACTCAGACCTCTGAAACACTGTTCTTTTCATTAAAGAACTATGAAAGAGAAATAGAATAATATTAAAATTCTTTTTTAGGTAAATTTCAGCTCACTCTGAAGTGTATTGAAATTACAATGAAAAATTCAATGATACCAACAAAAATCAACCCCCTGGCAAATTTTGGCCAAACTCTCCTGATACAAAATCCTCACACTGACTGCATACCTTTATGACTCAATTAGAAGAAATTAACTTAATTTACAGGGAAGTTCAAGAGCCTGAAAAATCAAGCACCAATACTAAAGACAATTTTTTTCTTATTAATCTGTCAGTTCAAAGAGCTCTGTCCAAGTTATTTCCATTTGTTTAGATCTGAAAAGCTTGAAAATTATTCTTTATTGAAGAAGTCTAAAAGAGTTTTGTCTTGCCAAAAATTCGCTAATGGCTTAGCCATTATTGCTTGCTGTATTTAAAGGATAAGTTTTCTGTGGAGGAAATCATTCTCTCTGACTTTAAAACTGAATTATTTTGCCCTATCTGGTTTGGCTCAGTGGATACAGCGTTGGCCTATGGACTAAAGGGTACCCTGGTTTGATTCAGGTCAAGGGCACATGCCTGGGTTGCAGGCTCAATCCCCAGTAGGGGGGTGCAGGAGGCAGTCGATCAATGATTCTCTCTCATCATTGATGTTTCTATCTCTCTCTCCCTCTCCCATCCTCTCTGAAATCAATAAAAATATATTTTTAAAATTTTTTAAAAAACTGAATTATTTTTCTTTACTTTTTAAAAATTGTTGTTGCTTAATTCTTGCTAATCACTCAAAAGGTTTCTCCCAACCCATTTGCTTTATTGAAAAACTGAAGATATAAAATTGACAAGTCATTTGCCGTTTACATTGCATGGGTGAAATAAACTCATGATAACTTTCTGCTATAAGCAAAATGTGCCCAAAGGCCAGGCTGAGGTCACAATAGTAATCCTCCTACTAAAAGCAATAGTAACCTAGCAGCAAAAAGGGGAGGAGGAGGAGGAGGATCCATCTTTTGATTGTTCCATACAGAAACAGTCTGAGCACATTGCTATGCACACAAAAGTCTAGATATCCCAAATAATGAGACAGTATTTTTAATCCAGAGAAATTACTTTTCACCTTAAAGTTAAATTCTGAATAAAACACTACTTTCCAGACACCTGTCTTCCTTAATTTCATATGTCAAATCCTTAGTCCTCTATAAATCCCTCCAGAGCTCTAGTCCACATACTCCAGCATCTATAGGCATTTTTGTTTGTTTAAGTGATCTTCCACATGTTACCTTCTGCTTTGAATGGGAATTACTGTTTCGTGTACATAAGCACAGCCTCTGCTAGAAAACCTGAACCTACTTAATGGTAAGATCCATATCTAATTTTTTGCTTTTCCCTCAGTACTTATTTAATACACGGTCCTCCACAAATGTTTGTTGAATGAATATGCATATTTCAACACGTTTTGGTTCAGATTTAAATTTATGCCCATTTCTGCAACTGAATGTGCACACAGGGATTAGATACAGTCACAATGACTGAAAGTTACCCTACCAACTATGATGTGAGTATGGAAAGGAAGCAGAAAGTTGACATCTGTCTAATGCTATGTAGAGTAGGCAGGGTTGCAGGAGATGCTTAGACAAATGAAAGTGAGAAACTGCTACAAGAAAGAGAGATAAGAAATACCTTTCTTTATTAGGCTGCGCTATTCTTTCCCTCTAATGAATTATTAATATTATGTTGAAAAAAAGAATAAAATACTGGTGCTGTAATAATCCAAGGATTTCAGCCCACCACATGCATATCTGTGGCTGCATTAAGCCAGCAATATCATTATAGAAAATGTATAACCTTAAATTGGTGGAATTTTGGTATCTTAGAGGTAGAAATGACATTAAAGGGCATTTGGACCAGCCTCTCCAGTTTTCTAAAAACTCAGGTTACATGTTGTCATAGTCTATTGAAGGGAACTAGTTTTACCACCCAGAAGCTGCCTTTTTGGGACACTAATTTTAAACTGTTTATTAAGAAACAACACTCAGAAATAACCTTTCACCCTCCCCTTTTTCCTGCCCAAGCGATTCAGACAGTAAAAGCTGCTTTAGGATGTTGCTTTAGCCCAATTTGAATTAAGTATGGTACACAAGAGGGCTTCAGCCCTAGCCAGTATGGCTCAGTTGGTTGAGCGTCATTCTATACACCGAAGGGTTGAAGGTTTGATTCCTGGTCAGGGCACATACCAGGTTGTGGGTTTGATCCCAGTTGGTCGGGGTACATATGAGAGACAATAGATTAATGTTTCTCTCTCACATGGATGTTTCTCTCTCTCTTTCTCTCCTCCTCCCTTCCTCTCTCTAAAACAAAACAAAATAAAAACAAGAGGACTTCATACAGGGACCTGTTAACTACGTAGCCCTGTGTCTCCCTGCTTCTGGGTTGCCTTGAAAGAATGTTCCTGCCATGTATGTTCTGCTCATCCTCAACTACCTGTAAATCTCCCATTCTCACTTCTGAAATCTAAGACCCCCAGCCCCTCTCCTTTGTACAAAATGCCTTATATATCCAATGTTGCCTCACTGTCCTTGAATTTTCATGCCTCTGTGAATTCCCCAGGCTCATGTCTTAAACATTTGATTTTCTCCTGTTAATCTGTCTCTGTTAATTTGATTATTAACCCAGCCAGAAGAATTTAGAAGGTTGGAGAAAAAGTATTAATTTGTTTTAGTCCGCACACCAAGCTCCTAGAAAAGAGTCCAAGACACAGCTTGCATGTTAATGATACCTTTGTAACTAACCTAGTTATTAATTAACTGGAAAGGTGCAAAGGGAACACCAAATAGCATAGGCATGACTTGTGCAGCTTTGCCAGGAAGCTGCAGTTTAACATTCCCCAGGCCCGTTCCCTGCAGATCCTGGGGGAGGGGACTGACAGGGGAGAATAGACAGGCCCAGTAAGGTCTGAGTGACAATAGGGAAGGCACTTGTCTGTCAGTCACAGGTAGGAACAGGACATTGGCCAGAGTAGGTGTGGCCACTGCAAGTACAGGAAGATTTGAGATACTTAAGCTCCTAAACAAAGGAGTTTGTTTTCTTGCCTCTTGCTCACACTTGACTCCTGGCTTGCTGGGGTCTCATGCTCCTGACATTTGCCCACATGGCCCACAGCCATGTGGACCCCACACAATGGGCTGATGGACTGCAATTAGCCTAATGCTGCACCGGACGCCGCTCCACCATGCAACAGCAACTTTGGACACTGGCTCTGCTTCTAGCTCTGTTGAATCTCCAGTTGCACCTCTTCCAGGACTGGATTAAGGGAAAGGGGATTCTAGAAACTGAGAGATGTAATTCCATGAAAATAAAGCTCTCTACCTCATTTCATCCTCCTGTGGGGGCCTCTGGAGATGCTTATTCCAGTAGCAGCCCAAGAACCCCATTCCCACTAGCAATGGAGAAAGACAATCCACGCATTTCTCCCATAACATTAAGACCTTATTGGGGGTGAGAGTGTGTTGCAATCCGAGGGAAACATGCCTGATGGAAAGGGGAAGAAAACAAGAGGGTAAGTTACTGAACTCACCACAGCTTTAGAAAAAACACAGCTGGTTGCTTAGTATCCCAGGTTGTCTCCCTCAAGGCCAAACTAATGGGCATATGACCTGTGCAGTGGCAAAGCCCCCACTCCCACCCCCATCCTTACAAGGGCTCTGTATTTGGTTTAATACTTTGTTGTTACCATTTTTAAATTCTCAATAATATATTAAACAGGGTCCTGCATTCATTTTCATTTTGCATTGGGACACAGTAACCATGCAGTCAGTTCTGGTCTCCAAATAAGAAAAGTGAAACAACTACAACTTGGAAGAGCTGGTTAGAGGGGGTGAGAAGTGCACCTGCTGGCTCCTCCCCACTTCCTATTCTCTCATTGGTGAAAGTCTCTTTCAAGGGGTGTTAACTTCCGGCTCTGGCTGGGGAGTAAGAAAAGTGGCCCAGACTTAGAGGCGAAATGGCACAGAAGGGGTACCCAGTGAACCCAAGGTGGTGCAGAAACTAGATCAA